CCTTGCTTGCTTCAGCTAAAAGGTAAAATCTCGAACGAGACAGAGAGGTATTTTTTTATATACATCCCTACATGCTTATTAACCCTTAATAGGGAACACATGGGATAGGCGGCAGCATTAAAACCTACCTGTGTGATACAAATACACTATTGTGGTCTAAAACCTAAGTAATGATATAGAATACAGTCATGTGGTCATTTCTTGCCTGTTAGTTTATTTAATATTACTTGGGTCTGATTAAAGTTTTGACTTGAAACATTGTTGTGAAAACAGCGCTGCAGTATATGTCGATGTTCTATGGTTATTCTTAATGGCTATAGTACTTACATTCAAGTAAAGCCATTTGTGTTCTGACTGCCAATGTCGATATAATAGTTTTTTAAGGTGCTTGCTGCTGTCAGGAATTCTCCACCCACCGTGATCTGAACGGCAAGCTCCCGTTTTTGGTAAATACTAACCCAAAAAAAACAATGGATGGCGAATAGGCAAAGGGCAAGGTGTGAAAGTGTTTGGGTGAAGAAAAAAGACACATGCAACTTAATCTCAGAGATCTTATGACGAGGCAGGAATCGCAGAGGGTTTAATGGTACAATAATTATTTTTAATTTCTGGGTCATATTCTCCTCACTTGTCAACTTGTACCTTTAAAGATCTATCTGCGTTTTTAGCATCTGTCTAGGTGGGTGTATTGTTTATACAAAGACATCAGTCAATATTCCTCGGGCCCATTCAGCGTGCTCGTTATAATGAATTGCTCATTAGAAGCATTTACCATTAGAAGGAATTCATTAAAGGTGATTGCTTTCGCAAAACCAGAATCTTCTCCAAGACATCTCTTTCCATAGGCTTTCAATTAGCCGTCCATACGAGCCAATCCTGAGCCGCGGACACTTACAGCCAGGTGCCGGGGCAAAGGAGTGGTGCATTGATGCTCTATATATTGCTTTTTAAATCGCTGCCCCCTGTCGTAGGGTTAGTTAATGAAACAGAAATTATACGCCAAAACTGCAAAAAGTGACTTTCAATTTCTGACAATTCTCTCTTTCGTGGAAAACACAGAGGCAGTAAATGTAAACTAATAACTGAATTGGTAACATCTCTTAGACACAGCTAATTCTCCAATGTAACCCAAGTCACTGTTTTATTGAATAAATCTGCGTTTCAGATTTTTTTAAACTATATATGAAAGCAACCTTCTTTTAAAGCTTTCTCCCATGAAAGGGAGGGATTCACAGTAATTATTACAGTAGCCAATAGTGTAACAGTTACCTCCCACACATCTCCTCCCCTCAGTGTGACACCTAATCTCATTAAACATACTGTAGTTTTCCCCGAGTTCTGGATGTACCCCAAAACAAGCAGCTAGAATACTATTTTGGTTACCCCCTTATAGCCCAGATCTGGGTGAACAAATTCACCCAGATCGGACCAGGAGTTCGGGAGTTAGGTGAAAGGTGAAATTTGACCGACCGCACACGGGGTAGTATCCGAAAAAGGCTCCATGTATTTTGGCCCTGCGGTCGGTCTCCGTTCGGTAGTTAAAACATACAGTAATTCTTGCCATCCACAGATAATCTTCTATTCGTTTGTATTCCCTTGTTCGGTACATTTATTTTACCGAACGAGAGGCTGACTGGCCCCTCCGTTCGGGAGTTATGGAGCTCTGGAGGTCTCAGCGGTGATCAGGTGTTTGAGTGTCCGATTTGAGTTCCAGACACTCGACGACCAAACAAACCAAACACTGCTGAGATTTTCTTGCATAAGATGGCCACCGCACGTGGTTCGTATGCCGAACGGCGACCACACAGGTACATACAATATATCAATTTCACGGTCAATTAAGCTGCGGTTTCCAGAGTGTGAAAGCTTAACGAGGTGCACACTTCTCACTGGGGTGGTCTGATGGTTCGGTAGTTTCATTTGTATGAAAACTACCGAACAATCATACGAAAGCAACATACACTTACAGCTATACAGGGAACAATTACACGAGTACATTTTTAATATGAATTCTTGAGGACAGCGTTAATGCAATCTGCTACAGTCATTAATGTGTTTTTACATATTTATTATTAATTTATTTTGCTGTCGTTCACTACAACAAGGACAGTGAACAAACACAGGCAAGGTTGGCGCTCCCTATAGGCAGACTAGGCAGCTGCCCCGGGCGCTTCTTAATGAGGGGGCGTCGGCCCTGGCTTTATGTTTGTGCCACGGCCGCCCCTCCATCAAATTATATTATTTTGAGTATGCCGACGGCCATTTTACCGGGCACTCGGAAGCATTTACATTGTTGCTCACTAGCGCCCAGTAGAACACAGGTCCGGTGGCATCCACCACGGCCCGCTCAGTCAGGCCCACCTGCTCAGACACAAACTGTGGCAGCGGCAGTGCTCGGGCACTTCAATTCCTTGCTCCTGCTCCTTCCCCTGTATTACGGGAGAAGTGGGCGGGAGCATAACAGGAAATGTGCTGAGAAAGGACGTGATGGGAAGCCAGGTGCTGGCAATGAACAGCAATGAAGGCTAGGTATGTCAGAGAATGTGCGTTAGTCTGCTTCAGTCAGTATGTTTATGTATGTCAGTCTGTATGGGTCAGTGTGTCTGTTTGTATGGGTCATTGTGTGTCTGTATGGGTCAGTGTCTGTGTCTGTATGGGTCAGCGTGTCTGTCTGTATGTGTTAGTGTGTCAGTCTGTATGGATCATTGTGTGTCTGCAGGGGTCAGTGTCTGTGTCTTTATGGGTCAGTGTGTCTGTCTTTATGGGTCAGTGTCTGCCTCTATGAATCAGTGTGTGTCTGTACGGGTCATTGTGTGTGTCTGTACGGATCATTGTGTGTGTCTGTATGGGTCATTGTGTGTGTCTGCATGAGTCAGTGTGTCTGTCTGTATGGGTCAGTGTCTGTGTCTGTATGGGTCAGTGTGTCAGTCTGTATGGGTCATTGTGTGTTTGTATGGGTCAGTGTCTGTGTCTGTATGGGTCAGTGTCTGTGTCTGCATGGGTCAGTGTGTCTGTATGTGTGTGTCTGCATGGGTCAGTGCGTCTGTCTTTATGTATGTGTGCCTGCATGTGTCAGTGTGTCTGTATGTGTGTGTCTGCATGGGTCAGTGTGTCTGTCTTTATGTATGTGTGCCTGCATGTGTCAGTGTGTCTGTATGTGTGTGTCTGCATGGGTCAGTGTGTCTGTCTGTATGTATGTGTGCCTGCATGTGTCAGTGTGTCTGTACGTGTGTGTCTGCATGGGTCAGTGTGTGTATATGAGTCTGTGTGCGTCAGTCTACATAGGTTAATGCGTGTGTGTCAGTTTGCATGGTCAGTGTGTGTCTACTTGAGTCAGCATGTGTTAGAGCATGATTGGGTGAAGCAAATGGAGCCGCAAATTTTTTTTTCGCCCAGGGCGCCAAAAATGCTTGCACCGGCCCTGGGCACAGGCCACATCCCAACGTACTAGGGCTCCGATGTTTGCTGTCCTTTGTCTGGCTGAGAGCTGTGATTGCTAGAGATTAAAAACAAGAAGAAACAAAATAACGGCAATGTCCCAGCTGTGTTTTACACTTAGTGAGCAGTGTGTGTGTATTACTCTGCACTTGTGACTTTATTTATAGTTTGTAACTCGTTTTAACCATTTCCTTGCTTGTACTGATTTTGATGCAGAGTTATCCTCTGTCCCAGTTTCTCTTTCAAGCCTGGCTCTCCCGTCCTCACCGGATCACCCCTTTCTCTGCTCCCATGCCATCCACACCCTCCCCTAAGCATTGCATTGCACACTCCGCAACCCCCTGACACTGTGCGTAAATAGCAAACACAAGGAAACATATTTTCGCAGCTCTGAACACTGCATCCTCGCAGACTCGTCCCACACAGCAGCTGTTCCCCAACACGCTGCCTCTCTCCTCCTCCAAGCGTCTCTTGCAGTCACTGCTTCCAAAACGCACAAACCGCGCATTAACTCCCAGCCTGACCTCCCTCCCGTCTCTCAGCATTATTGCTGTGATGCACGCCTCCTGATGAGCACGGTCACACTAAATATTTGGTAATCACTTTGCTGCCTCGCTGGATGCGTTCCCACAAGATTAAAAAAACAAAATAAAAGCTTCATTGTCCTAGGACAAGGCTGGGTTTGTGGCATGCGTAGCTACTGCCTAGCCTCTTGCCAGCCAGGCTTCCAATAGCCAAACTCTAATCACGCACAGCCTTTCAATGCTTTACTTTGGGGGTTATTCACTAAATAGCGAGACACAGCATGTGAAGAAGCATTGCATTTATCCCATAATCCACGAAGATTGTAAAGATTTGCATTCATTTATTTAAAGCCATGTTAGAAAGATCCTTTGCTTGAACTATTTTTCTGCCTCTGTTATTTTGGGTTGATGTTTGCAATTTCCTCTGCAATTTGTAATTTAGTGAATAAATCCCTCAAATTGCAAAAATGACGCCAGCATACTCATACTGAAAAAAATCTTCTTCAATGCAGATCTCATTTTATAATACCCTCCGCATATCACTACTTAGCGAACAAAGCCCGATAGCTTCGATTATCAACATTTGTTTTAGAAAAGTTAACTTTAGTTTGTTATGCTTTACATGAAACATGGTTTACTTTGAATATCAGAACAGGAGCTCTGATGGATAAAAAATGCCATGAAAATACCGATTAAAATGGAACTTTGAATGAATTGGGGACTACGATAATTTTAGACGTTTGAGTGAAGTAAAGCCTTGAAGAAGCGAGCCTAGTTTTACGGTAACTTCTGTGACTTCTGTAAATCTGACATTAGATGGTGATGGTGTCTTATTCCTAGGTTTAATATTGTTGGATAAACTTTTCAAATTATTTATTATTTTGAATAATATTAGAATTTTGTATTATTTTGATATTATTTGTAGTGATGTCCCGAACGGTTCACCGAACGGTTCGCCACGGATGGCGAACATATGCGCTGTTCAGTCCGCCCACTAGAGCATCATTGAGTAAACTTTGACCCTGTACCTCACAGTCAGCAGACACATTCCAGCCAATCAGCAGCAGACCCTCCCTCCCAGACCCTCCCACCTCCTGGACAGCATCCATTTTACATTCATTGTGAAGCTGCATTCTTAGTGAGCTGACCAGGAGGTGGGAGGGTCTGGGAGGGAGGGTCTGCTGCTGATTGGCTGGAATGTGTCTGCTGACTGTGAGGTACAGGGTCAAAGTTTACTCAATGATGACGAATAGGGGGCGGACCGAACACCGCATATGTTTGCCGTCCGCGGCGAACCATTCGACGAACCGTTCGGGACATCACTAATTATTTGATATATTGCTTGTGATGAACTGCCTGGCACCCAGTATGGGTACCTCTGTCTATCGCTGCTTCCTAGTACTTGAGAGCACCATAAACATTGTATCAGAACACCATAACCACCGTAGACCCCACGAATCGCCGTCCTCCACCCACCGTGGACCCAAGACCAGGATCCAGATTCTAGTAGGTATACGTCTCCTAGTCCAGAGAGCATAGCAGGAACAGCTCTTACAAGCGCTTAGTGATTATACTCAGGGGAGTATAGTGATATAGCAATCCTCAGAGTGAATATAGCTCTCCAATCCCCCAAAAATGAGCCAAGACTTCATGAAGGGGTAAAGCATTCTGTTTAATGGAAGCCACATCTGGCCTTTTATGCAAGTCCCCAAGCAAGGTGTACGCCCACATGGACCTTGAACAGTAATTAAATGTACGACACTCCCATAACAAACATACAAACCCTCCCCTCTGCCTGTGAGATAATTGAGTCAGATACTGTATTAACCCAATTATCTCCAGGCAGAAAAAAACATATATTTTAACATACCCCAAAAGTACCCCAAAACACAACATATGCCCATAAATGTTACATCCCCTGATAACCCTGATCTGGGTGAACAACATATCCGAAAATCACCCAGATCGGTTCAGGGGTTCAGGAATTTCCTTGAAGTGTTATTTTTGACCGACCGTGCTCATGGTTCCATGCCCAAAACAGTTCCAGAGAATTAGGGCTAACGGTCAGTCTTTCTGTCTGGAGTAGAAAAGTACATACTTCACATGAACAGAGCCTTTTAAAGTGCATTGGGCAAGGTATATTGCAGGGCCCATAGTCCTGATGTAGGAGGCTGGCCAGCAGGCCCTTCCAAGAACCAGTGACGTGGCTACTTTCGTCACATTGCTCTATTTCTTTAGATATGATATATTTTTTGATATTTTAAGTTCATCCAAAAATGTGAAATAATTTGAAAAGCTAATCCACCAATATTAAATCGAGGCCTTATGTCTCTGCTTTTTCTATTCTTATTCTAAAATTTCTTGAACTCGTCTATATTTGACAACTCTGAGAGTCACTGCTTGGCGACTAAACCCCTCAATATTTTAGCGTGTGCTGAGGATGGAAAGATGACATACAGAGCTCACATTTTAACTCTCATTGAGTGTGGTGGCTGAATTTTATACCCAAAATGGATTCCGATGCTCCTGTTCTCCACTGTTAGCTGTACTAGACGTGGTTTGTGGTAAATATGTCTACCTCCCCTTCGTTAAAATTAAAGGCCCAAATAACATGCGATATTGGAAGCAAATTGTCAAAATTCATTTAAACAAATATTTGCAGTATATTATGATGTCATGCAAACCCCCTACTTGTATAATAGACGCAAGGCTGATTGCTTCCCTGTGGTCGGCCATGCTGCTTTATGCCACTTCTAATCAGGTTGCGCTGGCTGTAAATGATTAGGTAATATGCAATATGCATCTATCTGGCTGATTTGATACAATTTTTCAAATAAACGTTGGCTCTGGGTACACCCCTCATCATCACAGCCACTACCACCCCACAGGGCTTCGTTAGAAAGGATTATGTTCCACCCACCCTACAATTTAATCGAACACTGGATCCTTGGACGAAACACACCTTCTTTCACTCACATGCTTCACCCTTACTCTCTTTCTCTTCTTTCCCCCTCATCTCCCCGGTTTTTCTTGCACTCGTGAAGAAATATCGCATTCCCATTCCATTTCTCATTCATCTTTCCTCCTTGCTGTCTCTGTCTTAAACTTGCGCCCTGATTTTTTCTGATCATCATCTAGAGGTATCAGCCCATCAATATATATTTCTTCACTTTTTTTTATAAACTTCCCATCTTCTTGCTCTCCTCTTGTAACCATGGCTGGTCCCATCCGAGGAGGATGCTGAGGTTCTGTATAATTATCCGATTACTAATCTCACGATGAGCAGGCAAGATGTTTGAGAAGCGTTTGCTCACCATGAAAAGCTGCAATTAGACTCAGTAGGTTTTTTTTCCCTTTATGCAAAATGTTCAGAATTAGAAGTGAAAGTTCAGTTTATTCTCTGCCTGGAGCTTGCAGCGCTCAAAATAGCCTTGTGACAGCCAGCGATGGTCCCCTCGCTAATAACGGGTCTGTCATCTTGAGGCCATGAGGGCGCGCAGAGCATTCTTCTGCAAAGGTTCAAGGAATTGCCTGATGTCTGTAGAAGAAGTAGAGGAAATGAGTGCATTGCTACTCAGCAGAGGATTATGGGTAATTTTTAGCAGTTACTGAGCACATTGTTGCACAGCAAGGGTTTGGTGGTCTGTTTTTAATTGAAAGAAGGGCAGATGGGGGCGAGTTTAGGAACCCAGACCAGAAATCCTTTGTTACATGATAATGTTCCAGCTTCCATCTAGAGACTTATTGCTTAGCAGACAACTACGCGTTATGCATGTTGCGTTGCTGTGTAGATAGAGTGCGGAGCATTTAACCTCCCAGCTCTGCAGCAAAGGATAAGCTGGTCTAAATGGATAATCGTAGGAGGTGAAGCCTTAGTGGGTTACTTCTACAAAATACTGCTATGAGTCTGGCTTAACACAGATAATGAGGCAAATCTCGGCAGCCTTAAAAGGACAGTCTAAGCACCCAAATCACTCTATCCTAAAGATTATGGAGTGTCAATTCCCTGCAAATGGAAGCAAGTGTCATTTCTGAGAAACAGCACTGTTTATATTTTGCAATTTCTACCTCTACTAATGAATGTCGTTGTACGAAGCACCCACTGGGGGCTTTGGACTGACATAGATTCGGTTTTCGTGGCTATTTGGTGATGGTATCGACATACAAGTCATGCTCACTCCGGCTGCTGTGTGCAAAGTTATGCACTTCAGAGTAAAGAATACACAAGCAACGTATACCCTTAATGGAAGCGAATTAGGGATAACAACACACGAAAAGGACTTGGGAATTGTTATAGACAACAAACTATGCAACAATGTGCAATGTCAATCAGCAGTGGCCAAGGCCAGTAAGGTATTGTCATGCATGAAAAAGGGCATTCATTCTCGGGACAAGAATATCATTTTGCCTCTTTATAAATCACTGGTAAGACCCTATATTGAATATGCTGTGCAATTTTGGGCACCTGTTCTAAAGAAGGATATTATGGCACTAGAAAAAGTGCAGAGGCGGGCTACAAAACTAATAAAAGGAATGGAACATATCGGCTATGAAGAAAGGTTAACAAATTTAAACCTTTTTAGTTTAGAAAAACGTCGCCTGAGAGGGGATATGATAACTTTATACAAATATATTCGGGGCCAATACAAACCATTGTGTGGAAATCTATTCACAAACGGACTTTACATAGGACACGAGGCCATGCGTTTAGACTGGAAGAAAGAAGATTTTGTCTAAGGCAAAGGAAAGGTTTTTTTACTGTAAGAACAATCAGGATGTGGAATTCTCTGCCTGAAGAAGTGGTTTTATCAGAGTCCATACAGATGTTCAAACGGCTACTAGATGCATACTTGCAAGAACAGAATATTCAAGGATATAATCTTCAATGTAGGGTAATAACTGCTTGATCCAAGGATAAATCTGACTGCCATTCTGGGGTCAAGAAGGAATTTTTTTCCTAGCTTGTTGCAAAATTGTGCTTCAAACTGGGTTTTTTTGCCTTCTTTTGGATCAACAGCAAAAAACAAATGTGAGGTAGGCTGAACTTGATGGACGCAAGTCTCTTTTCAGCTATGTAACTATGTAACTATGTAACTATGTAAGAGAAGCATTGGATAGGCGGATTATGATGATTGTAGCATCGACAATACTTCTCTGTAAGAAACATCTGATTAGACACGGGCCATCAAGCTTGATGATCTCACTGGAGTAAGATTGGCTGCATTGAAGTGACAGTCTTGGTTTTAGAATAAACATGTGTTTAATGTTGATTTTCTTTTACTTAAATTCAGTAATGGAAAGCAGTAAAGGAACACATTGGATTCATATGTTTTAAAGTGTGCCTGCCAGGACAGTTTTGGGTTTGGGGTTTTGCAGCCATACGGATTGACTCATGTTTAGCAATTAAGTATTTCTTCCATTAATATTGTTAAACGCTCAAACGTATTCGTTTCCATTACCCCTTTCTCCAGCTGAGAGCATTATGTTTCATTGGGTGTTACACTTGCTGGAAGAGACACCTCTCCTGCATATTCTTGTTTGGGAGTCACAGACTTGCTACCCATAGCAGAGTAGAAGTCCCCAACACTTTATGTTAGTTTTGTGTGAATAAGATGTATCTATTCTCAATCTCCATTCCTAGTTTTTCTGTCCAAAGCTGCTACAGTAAATTATTCTGTCTATTTCTTTCCATGCCGTTGCTGCTACTCTCACTTGGATTGTACACTTCTTCCGGCTTTCCCTTGCAGGCATTGCTTTCCCTGAATTCAAGAAAAAGGAGGGACTCCTTGGTAACAGACATAGAGAGCACACCCTTCTATTTTCTGTGCCGATCCACCCAAACTGAAGTGACCAGTAGAAAGAGGGAAGGGTTGTTTTGTAACATGTGATTTTAGAGAAATCTAGACCTTTGCTAGTAATGCTACTAGCACACTGAAATGTGATTCTCTATCATTTAAGATTAAGTTGTATTGTCATGACAGGAACTCTTTAACGTCTTCCTTCAGAACAATATTAGATTAGAATTTAAAGGACATGGGTTTATTATTATTATTATTATTATTATTATGATTAAATGACGTTCTGTGTTGCTGCTGACATTTTACAAAGGTGTAGCGATTTGAGATGTAATTGGGTTATATGTTAACACTGTTAGAAGATGTTTTTCAGAAATAAGAGTTTTGTAACAGTTGAGATTTACTTGGAAA